GGCTCAAGGGCTCAACCAGCCACAGTGAAGAGCAGAAAGCACCCGTGGACACCTTTGGATCAAGCTGGCTGATGTTACTTGCTGCTTTCAACCATTGGTGCCCACTGGGTGGGAGAGGCTCATCACCCACAGGGTCATTAACCCATGGAACTGCCTACCCGCCGAAGCCATACATGCCAAAATGCACCCCATCCTCATTGTGTGGGTGGTAGTGGGCACTATACCCATTGTGTGGGTGGTAGTGGGCACTATACCCATTGTGTGGGTGGTAGTGGGCACCATACCCATTGTGTGGGTGGTAGTGGGCACCATACCCATTGTGTGGGTGGTAGTGGGCACTATACCCATTGTGTGGGTGGTAGTGGGCACCATACCCATTGTGTGGGTGGTAGTGGGCACCATACCCATTGTGTGGGCAGTAGTGGGCACCATACCCATTGTGTGGGTGGTAGTGGGCACTATACCCATTGTGTGGGTGGTAGTGGGCACCATACCCATTGTGTGGGTGGTAGTGGGCACCATACTCATTGTGTGGGTGGTAGTGGGCACCATACCCATTGTGTGGGTGGTAGTGGGCACCATACCCATTGTGTGGGTGGTAGTGGGCACCATACCCATTGTGTGGGTGGTAGTGGGCACTATACCCATTGTGTGGGTGGTAGTGGGCACCATACCCATTGTGTGGGTGGTAGTGGGCACCATACCCATTGTGTGGGTGGTAGTGGGCACCATACCCATTGTGTGGGCAGTAGTGGGCACCATACCCATTGTGTGGGTGGTAGTGGGCACCATACCCATTGTGTGGGTGGTAGTGGGCACCATACCCATTGTGTGGGCAGTAGTGGGCACCATACCCATTGTGTGGGTGGTAGTGGGCACCATACCCATTGTGTGGGTGGTAGTGGGCACCATACCCATTGTGTGGGCAGTAGTGGGCACCATACCCATTGTGTGGGCAGTAGTGGGCACCATACCCATTGTGTGGGTGGTAGTGGGCACTATACCCATTGTGTGGGTGGTAGTGGGCACTATACCCATTGTGTGGGTGGTAGTGGGCACTATACCCATTGTGTGGGCACCATACCCATTGTGTGGGTGGCAGTGGGCACCATACCCATTGTGTGGGTGGTAGTGGGCACCATACCCATTGTGTGGGTGGCAGTGGGCACCATACCCATTGTGTGGGTGGTAGTGGGCACCATACCCATTGTGTGGGCACCATACCCATTGTGTGGGCACCATACCCATTGTGTGGGTGGCAGTGGGCACCATACCCATTGTGTGGGTGGTAGTGGGCACCATACCCATTGTGTGGGTGGTAGTGGGCACCATACCCATTGTGTGGGCACCATACCCATTGTGTGGGCACCATACCCATTGTGTGGGCACCATACCCATTGTGTGGGCACCATACCCATTGTGTGGGCACCATACCCATTGTGTGGGCACCATACCCATTGTGTGGGCACCATACCCATTGTGTGGGCACCATACCCATTGTGTGGGTGGCAGTGGGCACCATACCCATTGTGTGGGTGGCAGTGGGCACCATACCCATTGTGTGGGCACCATACCCATTGTGTGGGTGGCAGTGGGCACCATACCCATTGTGTGGGCACCATACCCATTGTGTGGGCACCATACCCATTGTGTGGGCACCATACCCATTGTGTGGGCACCATACCCATTGTGTGGGCACCATACCCATTGTGTGGGCACCATACCCATTGTGTGGGCACCATACCCATTGTGTGGGTGGTAGTGGGCACCATACCCATTGTGTGGGCACCATACCCATTGTGTGGGTGGCAGTGGGCACCATACCCATTGTGTGGGCACCATATCCATTGTGTGGGCACCATACCCATTGTGTGGGCACCATACCCATTGTGTGGGCACCATACCCATTGTGTGGGCACCATACCCATTGTGTGGGCACCATACCCATTGTGTGGGCACCATACCCATTGTGTGGGCACCATACCCATTGTGTGGGTGGTAGTGGGCACCATACCCATTGTGTGGGTGGCAGTGGGCACCATACCCATTGTGTGGGTGGTAGTGGGCACCATACCCATTGTGTGGGTGGCAGTGGGTACCATACCCATTGTGTGGGTGGCAGTGGGCACCATACCCATTGTGTGGGCAGTAGTGGGCACCATACCCATTGTGTGGGTGGTAGTGGGCACCATACCCATTGTGTGGGTGGTAGTGGGCACCATACCCATCCTTATCCACTTAGGATGGGTAAATCACACAGGATCACTTACCTCCTTGTTACCTATAACACAGGCATGTAGTGTTGTGTATTTATACTTTCCATTACCCTAGACAATTATGAAGATTGGGAGTACACTTGTGTATAGTTAAATCGAGCATAACAAATTATATATATCATAGGACATATGTTCTATAATTCTATGCACTAATCTACTCCGAACCATTCTCTGGATGGTTTTACACTGATCCGCACCCCTGTGAACGCTATGGTCCACAACGTACAAAATACTGTGTACTATGAACCACAGCAGCTCTCACAAATCCATATTTTCTATGCCAAGGTTTTTAGAGTTTCCTCAATAAATGTGTTGTTTGATTATACAAATAATCCCTTACTCATTTGAATCAGTTACTGCACATTGTATTGGTAGCTCGGCAAGCTGTTCCAGAGGGATCTCCCTGCTTGCAGTAGGCGAGACTCGAGGTAGATCAATAAAGGACATAAAAGGAAGCTTAACTATAAGTAAGGTGTTCTGCAAATGTGGTGATAACTAAGTTCACACGCAAATTAGATGGTGTGAGTTACCCTTGTATGAGAGACATGAGTATTAAGGACAATACGCTTAAAAGACATAGTCTATAATTATCCGAATATAGTTTGGGAATAGGAACAATGACTCTAAGCACAATCTCCTTGAGGTTATCTTGAGATGATTTTGGGGCTTAGCGTCCCCACGACCCAGTCTTTGATCAGGCCTCCTTTTTGTTACATACCCCCCCAGGAAGCAGCCCTTAGCAGCTGTCTAACTCCCAGGTACCTATTTACTGCTATGTGAATAGGCGCATCAGGGTGAAAAAAACTATGCCCATTTGTTTCCGCCTCCACCGGGGATTGAACCCAGACCTTAGGACTACGAATCCTGAGTGCTGTCCACTCAGCTGTCAGCCCCTCCCCCCCCTCACAAAAACATCACCAAAGCACTGAAGCATTTATTATCACATCAAGGCACTGGACCTTGAAGAAGAGAACATATGCATTGACACGTACACTTTCTCCATTTTCCTTTATCTTGGATAACTCCCTTTTTAGTTTTATAGACAATATGTTTAATTGAAGGGTTACTACCTGATGCTTGGGCAGTCATAGTCAACAAACCCCAAGCATCTTCAAATAATTACAGACCTCATATTCGGCCTCCCATCTGTGGGTCCAACCATTCCTCTCAAATAGTAACGCTTCACACATTTGCGTCAACATCCCCAACAGACAAATAACGTGGTTCTATGAATCATTGCAGCACACTGACCATCACATTTTGTGTGGGAGCCACTAGGTTAGACTTGGTTAGATTCGTGCAATTTCGTACAGCGTTTAAAGTCTGTTGTAGCAAAGTGAGAATGGGCTAGTAGGTTACTGATACTACCTTTATCCATGTTTACCATTAGAAATAAGAATAATGTACATATAAAGTATATATAGACTCCAATCTCTACCACCGTACAAAAAATAAAAAATCCACTGCTTTGTTATCCAACCTCTGAATGTTAGGTTTACAAACACCAAATATATATAGATGAGAAATATTTTATTACTTTCTTGAGGGAAACATAAAAAAATTGAGACAGCAATACCTTGGCCGATATTAAAAAAAAAAAAAAAAAAAAATTGTTTATCTATTTTGACTACAGTAAAGTATTAAAGCTGAGAAATCTATGAATCTGTTAGAATTATGCATACTTATCCATGGGTGACCACCTCAGGCCGGCAAATGGGCAACAAGGGAAACTTTGTCAAGTTCCCATTATCGCCATAACAGAATCCCAGCTTGGCTTTCCCATTATGGCAACAATGACAAGACTCACATGAAATCTTATTATCCCAGATAATACCAATCAGGTTAAAGTAACATGCTCTGATATCATCAAATGTCGATACCTCTCACCGACGAGCACGTACCTCTTATGCGTAAAACAGATTAGTATAGACATACAAAATTTGAGAAACGGAGCCTCATCCAAAATAGGCCCGGAGAACTTGGTGTGTGTACACAAAGGACACACAACAATATACTCAGAAGTATTGAGTTATGCATTTCAAACGGCGCTACCTGTCAGCGGGCATAAAAGATCCATCACTCCGTCCAGAAAGCACACTAAAAATCCATTCATTTACATATCCACCTTTAAGAAATGATGTCATACAAAAGGCTACCGAGATACAGTGCTTATGTTGTGCATCTTTGCCATTTCATTCAACTCGGGATGGCCAAAACATATTAAAAAAAAAAAAAAAAGGCATACGTAGGCAACACGCATAAAGTGCACTCATGCTGCATTATTAGATTCTTCATAAATAAAACCAATCAAACAACTCTCTTAGTACCACCGGCCCTTCTTCATGACAAGTAACTACTGATGGTTTGGGCTGTTCTTCTACAGATAAACATCTACAACTCTTTTTTGATCTTTTCTCTGCTACACACACACAGTTGAAGCCACTTTGTTGCCACTTTGACATGTGTGTGACGGAGAGACAAAGCAAAGAGGCATGTCCGGATATCTGCAGGATGCTGAGCACAGCTGGAATTATGGCAAAGCCACATTACAGAAGGATTTGAATGTATTCACCAGTAAGTGGTCATCAACCTTTGAATATATTCACCAGTAAGTGGTCATCAACCTTTGAATGTATTCACCAGTAAGTGGTCATCAACCTTTCAATATATTCACCAGTAAGTGGTCATCAACCTTTGCAGCACTTACAACACCTCCATGAACACAGTGACTGGCACTTTCTTTAGTGAACTCTGCGCAAGTGTAGGAGGCGGAGAACTGGTAAATCTACCTACCAACTACTATCTTGAGGTTATCTTGAGATGATTTCGGGGCTTTAGTGTCCCCGCGGCCCGGTCCTCGACCAGGCCTCCACCCCCTGGAAGCAGCCCGTGACAGCTGACTAACACCCAGGTACCTATTTTACTGCTGGAATACTTTACTACTACAATATAATAATTCATTAGTTTCATTTACCAAAGGTATACTATACACCTTCAAAACCAAATTAAGTCCTGTACTTGGACCAATTTTGACTTTCATGTTGATTGCACAAAATGTTAAATCTTTATTTATACATGCGGTAGCAATTATAAACAAGCAAATAGAAATTACCTACAATATTACATCTTGAAAATTAAGTATTTACTTCTCTCTGTCAAGAAGAATTGGAGAGTCAATTTCTCATAAATCAATTTTTAAATAAATTATTAAAACATTCTGGACATTGATAAAGTCCCAATATGGGCTATTGAGAATATTAGCACACAATATTCACTCAAAAATATAAAAAAAAAATTAAATAAACGTGACAAGTGTGTACAAAACAATGAATAAATTAATGACAATACATTAAAACAGCAGTCACAACTGCTCATCACACGCTCCAAAACTTTCGACCAACACTGAGGAGAGCACGATGAAAGAACTCTTTAAACGTCATTTCACATCGGCCTCTTTCACGAAGAACAGTTAAATAATACTAAGTCTTCGAGCAACCTTTCAAGCTTCTCCACAGATCCAGAGAAAACAAAACGCACACAGTACTGTAATACCCAGGACCTTGTTAACCAGAACACGATAACTTGGGTAGACAGAAAGGCAACACACGCACACATTGAGATTGGCTAGGGGAAAATAAATTTGGGATCACTCAATGGGACCAATGGGACCCAGTGGGATCTCTCCGAGCGACCACTCGGTGGGATCTCTCAGTGCGACCACTCGGTGGGATCTCTCCGAGCGACCACTCGGTGGGATCTCTCCGAGCGACCACTCGGTGGGATCTCTCCGAGCGACCACTCGGTGGGATCTCTCCGAGAGACCACTCGGTGGGATCTCTCCGAGAGACCACTCGGTGGGATCTCTCCGAGCGACCACTCGGTGGGATCTCTCCGAGCGACCACTCGGTGGGATCTCTCCGAGCGACCACTCGGTGGGATCTCTCCGAGCGACCACTCGGTGGGATCTCTCCGAGCGACCACTCGGTGGGATCTCTCCGAGCGACCACTCGGTGGGATCTCTCCGAGCGACCACTCGGTGGGATCTCTCCGAGCGACCACTCGGTGGGATCTCTCCGAGCGACCACTCGGTGGGATCTCTCCGAGCGACCACTCGGTGGGATTATTCATAAGGACCATTCAATATAAGACCAGTCAATGCAATCACTAAATGTTACTGCTCACTGGGTCCAGTTAGTGGTACCACTCAGTGGAGCCATTTAGTGGAACCATGTCAGTGGGATATTTCATCAAGGGGAGCACTCGGTGGGATTATCAGGTGGGACCACTTAATGGGACCACATCAGTGTAACCATTCAATGGCAACTCGACGTTAGCGATGCCTATAACGTTACCAACTGCTTGTGTGGCCAAGCTGACGCTCGACGATCTGGTCAACGGGATCTGGGGTATAGAAGATAACGGTGAGTGTTAACACCAGATAAAAAATAAAAAGGATTAAAATCTGAGGTATTAACGAAGTCTTATAACGTGTACGTCGACTAATAAAAAAAAAATAAAAAGGAACGTCGGGAAATCAAGTATGGCAATATGAAGGACGTAATAATAAATATGCATATTTGTACAAGGAAACAAGTTGCTATTTCATCAACATAATGAGAAAAATTATATTAGGTCACCATCATCACGAATACTAGAACGCAAGCCGGATATTCAGCGACATAAAACGATAGATCAAGATACAACTACATTGCTGAAATAAGCCAAGGCAAACACTGAGCAACACATTAAACAATCGCTCAAGGTCAGAACGTGTGCCTTTGAAATTAACTTAAGGATGATGCGAAAGGACAAACACCAAGGACGGAAGGTGCCAATACCAACAACCAAGGGCACAGCGAAAGAGACGACAGCAAGACGACGCCAAAAAGAGGGGTCACAATGAGGACTCAAAACTGCATGTCTGAGGAAAAAAAAAAAAAAAAAAAAAATCGCATAATCAGTGATAACAGGCTCACTGGATAAGTCAGCAATGGAGGAGAACGTACGCAGGAATGTTGCAGGGAGAAGAAGGGGGGGAAAAAAAAATAAAATTACAAAAGCTAAAATTAAGGAATTTGACAAATAGAAAATATATACCTAGGTTAATTGGAGGGAAAATATAAGGAGACATCAAGGAGAGTCCAGAACGACGCGAGAAACAACTCGCTACGCTACGGGAAGTAATAATACAAATCTGTGATGAGGATTTTCATAAGATCATTCGAGTAAACAATAACCACATAGTTACTGTCAAACGACTTCAGCCAATAATGAATTCACGAAGATGACTTGAGGTGTGTTAATATCAAATGGGGGAAACTATGTAAAATACAATATTTCCTTGTAAAATACAATATATTGTATATTTTTAAATTAGATAATGAGATGATGAAAATAATATATGGCAGTATGTATGTGAAACGAGTGATTTGTAATCATGAAGTGGATGAGAGGGGATGGCAGTAGCTTATGTGTCGGCGGCGGCGGCGTCATCGTCCTCGGCCACACACCCGTTGCTCAGATCCTCCTGCGACGAAACCGGACTCTTGCTCGGCTCTTGCATCGACTCCACAGCTCCGTCTTCCTGAACATCATTGGGAATCTCTGAGCTGCGATCCACTTCACCGACCACATCAACCTGGTTCTCAATGATGCTGCTCGGAGCTGGCGGAGTGGTGAGGGTGGGCAGGCAGCTGGACGGTGACTGCGTGTTGGCGGTGGTGTGGTCCCGGTGTGTGTTAGGGAGGAGGAGGCTTACATAACTGCTCTGAACAGGCTTGTGCTTTGCTAGCTGCTTCACAGCATCCTCCATGCTGAACCATTTTCGTTTCCTACCTGCAAAAATGGGAGAGTGCACTGTAATGCCGGAGATGTCCCAAGTGACTGCTTCTCTGGGCAAGAGGGAAGGGTAAGCACATAAAAATATTGTCAACCAACTCTCTACTGAACTATTCCCAATGGCAAAAGAATACATTACGCAAATAACCACAAAAAAGCTCCGTTAAATAAAGCAAGAAAAACCCATCAATGGACTAAAAAGCTGTTACATTTTCCCTTCTCTGATGTGGACGCTTTAGGTCCTTTCGGACCAGCCACGGCACTGACTTTATTCTTCTGAACAAGTCAAATTTATCCAATAAATACCTACTATTAGGCAACTTAAAGATCAAAATAAACAAATATCCTCAACACAGCAATTCAACACACACAGGAAAGCACCAAATGGAATGAGAATGTGAGGATCAACACACATGTAGAATATTGGACCAATGGGAACATAGAGCAGCAGAACACACATACTGGATGGGTATCGGTCAGGGAAGACTGGTGAATGGTATGTTAAAACATCCTAATGTTAAAACAGGGGCAAAACAGGCCACAAAGTATACCGTGTGATACAGGCCACAAAGTATACCGTGTGATACAGGCCACAAAGTATACCGTGTGATACAGGCCATAAAGTATACCGTGTGATACAGGCCACAAAGTATACCGTGTGATACAGGCCATAAAGTATACCGTGTGATACAGGCCACAAAGTATACCGTGTGATACAGGCCACAAAGTATACCGTGTGATACAGGCCACTAAGTATACAGTGTGATACAGCCCACAAAGTATACCGTGTGATACAGGCCACAAAGTATACCGTGTGATACAGGCCATAAAGTATACCGTGTGATACAGCCCATAAAGTATACCGTGTGATACAGGCCACAAAGTATACCGTGTGATACAGGCCACAAAGTATACCGTGTGATACAGGCCACAAAGTATACCGTGTGATACAGGCCACAAAGTATACCGTGTGATACAGGCCATAAAGTATACAGTGTGATACAGGCCACAAAGTATACCGTGTGATACAGGCCACAAAGTATACCGTGTGATACAGGCCACAAAGTATACCGTGTGATACAGGCCACAAAGTATACCGTGTGATACAGGCCACTAAGTATACCGTGTGATACAGCCCACAAAGTATACCGTGTGATACAGGCCACAAAGTATACCGTGTGATACAGGCCACAAAGTATACCGTGTGATACAGGCCACAAAGTATACCGTGTGATACAGCCCACAAAGTATACCGTGTGATACAGGCCACTAAGTATACCGTGTGATACAGCCCACAAAGTATACCGTGTGATACAGGCCACAAAGTATACCGTGTGATACAGGCCATAAAGCATACCGTGTGATACAGGCCACAAAGTATACCGTGTGATACAGGCCACAAAGTATACCGTGTGATACAGGCCACAAAGTATACCGTGTGATACAGGCCACAAAGTATACCGTGTGATACAGGCCATAAAGTATACCGTGTGATACAGGCCACAAAGTATACCGTGTGATACAGGCCACAAAGTATACCGTGTGATACAGGCCACAAAGTATACCGTGTGATACAGGCCACAAAGTATACCGTGTGATACAGGCCATAAAGTATACCGTGTGATACAGCCCACAAAGTATACCGTGTGATACAGGCCACAAAGTATACCGTGTGATACAGGCCACAAAGTATACCGTGTGATACAGGCCACAAAGCATACCGTGTGATACAGGCCACAAAGTATACCGTGTGATACAGGCCACAAAGTATACCGTGTGATACAGGCCACAAAGTATACCGTGTGATACAGGCCACAAAGTATACCGTGTGATACAGGCCACAAAGTATACCGTGTGATACAGGCCACAAAGTATACCGTGTGATACTGGCCACAAAGTATACCGTGTGATACAGGCCACAAAGCATACAATGTCATACAAGACACTGTATGCCCTTCACAACTAGTGAAGGGCAGCAAATAAATGTCCCACATGGAACACTCTCTTTGGAAGAAATAAAAGGTTTCGTGATTTGCCTCTTTAATGATGCCTGGTGGTTTGGAGCCATGAATGGGGAGTGCACTGTTACAGGAGGTTTCGATCAGTTTCCCACATCCCAATGGCCCTTACCTATTATGTGTATATCCTCAACAGCCTCAATAGTTTTGCAGCACGCACTCGTCTAGTAAATACTTCGCTTACGTTCTTGATGAGGGTGATCGTAACAATCCCCTGCTCTCTCTCTCTCTCTCTGTACTTCTGTAAAAGGGGGCGGGGCCAGGGTCAGGCTCTGGTTCCAGGTAGGCCGTGCAGGACTCCTATGGCTGATGTGTCTCAGTACGAGGAAGGGCAAGAGGCCATCTCAGTGAGATAGGCTTCGCCCCTCCAGAAAAAAATAAACATTTGAAAAATATGAGTTAGTACCCACAGACAAAAGTAATTCTTACCAAATACTTTAGATTCGTCCCATTCTTCCATCTCTTCCTTAACAACCAAAACATACACGCTCGTCCGATGACCTCGCTCCGAGTTCTGCAACAACAAAAGTCAAAAAAATCAACAATGGAACACTTGACTGCGGGGTTATGCGCGCGTCTCCAGCGAACATCTTTCACATACAGTACAGTGCACAAAATTAAAAGCAATCTTTCAGTCCAATTTTTAACATGGAATATGTCTAGTGCCATCTACAGGGGAGAGGGGAAAGCGGGCGTGCTTGCCGCATGCTAACACCAAAACATTCAATGTTTAAAAGTGGGCCTCTTAATCTTCTTGTCAAACCTTTACAAAAAAAAATATTTTTATTTTATTATGAAAAACTTTGGGAAGGATACCCATTGTTTCACTATGAAACTTTAGGGATGCCCCTTGTTTCATCGTAAAGCTTTGGGGATGCCCTTTATTTCATGATAAAGCTTTGGGGATGCCATTAATTCATTGTAAACCTTTGGGGACACCCTTTGTTTCATTATAAGACTTAGGGGATGGCCCCTTGTTTCATCGTAAAACTTTAGGACACCCTTTGTTACATGGTGAAGCTTTAGGACACCCTTTGTTACATGGTGAAGCTTTAGGACACCCTTTGTTACATGGTGAAGCTTTAGGAATGTGAATCACCATGATGCTTAAATTTTTCTTTCCACATCAGTAAGCATTTCAGACATTCAATCAGGGCTGGCACATGTAAATCGACATTTTAAAATGCTGTACAGTAACAGGTACAGCTCCTTTCTGAATAGGAAACACTAATATTTTCCAAGATGTATGTTTTAAGGTCCAACTTGACAAACTGTACCAGCCAGAACCAAGTGATACTCAACAATGGTACAACAGGGATCGTTTTAAACGTCCCAATGGTGCTTTGGACGCAATGTCAGTGTGGCAACTTTTAAACACGCTCCCTCTATAAATAATGGGGCATAACTCACCGACCTCTCACGGTGCTCAAAGGGGAACTTGATAAAACACTTCATGAAGGATACATGATCAGCCCGACAGTGAGCGGCAGCATCTAACACAGCCTGGTTGACCAGACCACCAACCACGAGGGCCTTATAATCCTTGCAACCATCTCAAGGTAATATCAAGAAAGCCTAGCCAGCTTCAGCTCCCATGTGGGGTATATACCTTTCTCAGGTGTTAGACCTTTTGAGTAGATATGAGGATGAATCTTCACTTCATGCTTTGGGGTTTGTCCACCACCTAACCCAGTCAAGAGCAGCTAGTTGCTGAGCAAGGAAAAAAAATTGCCAAATCTATTTTCTACTCCATGACAGAATATGGAGTCTGTGACATAAGTGATGACAGTGACCGGTGGCGTGGTGGTAACGCTTGCCCCCCCACACTTCATGGATACTTGGACTAGGTTCGAGTCGTGGCCAGGGAGGAGTGTCTGTGCACCAATCCTTAACTCTTGGTCCATATTAACCCAACTGTAAATGGCTACCCTTCTTGTTAACAGACTGGTGGGTCATGTTTAGGGAAGAATTGGTAAGGTAAAGCTTACTATGAGCTTACTATGAGCTATGGGAAAAGGAATGCTCTTAGCCTGCTAATATGAGTCACAGGTCATCTCCTCTTGTACCCATCTGTGTAAAAAAGTGCCAACATCTGTCCTACATTTTGGAAATACTTTTTTTTCCAGATGGGGGAAGATGGAGCATCGAAGGCTTTTGAGAAGCTCTGCCCATTTTGGTCAAACCTTCTACTGACCCAAGCCGAACACTGTTTCCAGTCTCCAAGCCCCAACCTCTCTCCCGCAAGCATGTGTATCAGATAAGACAGTACCCACTTATGGCCCGCAGCATGAAGGGAGTTGGGAGGCTATTGTGTCGAAGCCCTCAAGAGCGGGGTTTGAACAAAGGCCCTCCTCCTCCTCCTCCTGACGTCTGGACTCAAGTCGACTGAATCATTAGTGCCAGCCCCTCCTTTAAAAAGAGCGGGATCCTATGAGGCCTCTGCAAAAGACGAGAATTTAGATCATTAGTATTTAATAATCAGCCTGCCGAGGAGGAGGCACGAACAGCGTTGCGACCCACATGTGGCACACTGGATGCAACTGAGGGTAGGACCCACATACTGCAGACTGGATGCACACGAAGGTAGAACCACCCCCCCTCCCAGCCATCCCACAACAAACTGGGATCATCTGAAGATGGACTGGACCCACACACGATGGATTGGACTCACCCCGAAGGTAGAACCTACGCACAACAGACTGGATGCGCCAAAGATAGAACTCTGAATACAACAAGGAAGATTAGCAGAGGCATTTTTCTCTAGTCTACACGAGGAAGAAAAAATACAAGCTGAATCTGCAGACAGGTCACAGGACCCCACAGTCCTGCACGAAGCAGATACCCGAATAACAAGACAACAACTATCAGCTGACAATAATCTAACCTTGTCTGATCCTAAGACAAGGAATGGCAAGGAATCAGTTCACAAAAACACACTTACAACTCTAAAAACAAAATAAAAAATTACCTTAGGGTACAGACATGAAGCACACCCCTCACACATCGACAAGACCTAGCAATGGAGTTTACCCTGAGTCTACATCTTGGTATACCATAGAGCAGGGTTCTTTCAAACTTTTTTGAGCTCAAACCTGGATAAATTTTACGTAATAGCCTCACGACCCACCGAAACAACACGTGTACAAAAATGCATAGTACTAGCACTCTCATCTTGCATACACAATAAAAATACGATAACATTTTCCTACCCGCATGATATAGTACTGTACATGCATACTTAAAATGTTCACATTGTGTTCATTTTGGTGATGCCTGACTGAATTCTAACTTGAAAGATGATACACACAAAAAAAATAATTCTTAAACAAAACATAGCAATTGTGTTTGGTGAGGCTGCTTGTTGCTTGTTCCCCTGGCGCAGTCTGGCTTGTAGGTGGTGATCACAAGTATATCGGTGGCAGGGTTAAGGAGCTTTCTCTTCTTGGACTTGAGCTTTGCTAGGGTTGTGAAGCTAACCTGGCACAAGTGGTTGAAAAAGGAAGCAAGAGGTTGACAAAGCTGGGACATTCCTTGAATACACTGGTCCAGAGTGATGACAGTGTGGATTTCTTGTGTCTGATTCTTAATGAATTATCACTTGTGAGATGGGTCAACTCTTCTTCCTGATCACATGTTAAGTTTAGTCCAACAACAGTTTCATCTTGAGATGATTTCGGGGCTTAGCGTCCCCGCGGCCCGGTCCTCGACCAGGCCTCCATTTCGTTACACACCCCCAGGAAACAGCCCGTAGCAGCTGTCTAACTCCCAGGTATCTATTTACTGCTAGGTGAACAGGGGTATCAGGGTGAAAGAAACATTTTGCGCATTTGTCTCCACCTCCACGGGGATCGAACCCGGAACCTCAGGACTATGAATCCGAAGCGCTGTCTACTCAGCTGTCAGGCGCCCAGTCTGAAGTTTCAAATGCAAATGTGTCATCCCACCATTAATGGATGGACTCTTGTTTCTCTTTCAAATCCCTTCTCCTCTGGAAAGAAATGCTCAAAACTCACTGACATAGACAAGAAGATGCAGCTGTATTTCTTATACATTTCTAATGCATTTCTTAATTCTTCACACATTCTCCGTTCGTATCGTATTCCCCATTTGCGGCGCACAAGTATGGGGAACATAGAGTAAACAGGTTTATCTATTTTAAGCCTGGCTTGCCAAACCCTTACTTATCTCTTCAATGTCTTGAGCTCCTCACCATGTTGGAATACAGCGTTTTTCTCTCCCTTGTACTTTTAGATTAAGTTCAGTGAGAGCTTCGTGGAAATGTCTGCTAAATATGAGAGCTTTACTACCCACTCGTCTTTGGAGAATAGCTCTGCCATTGGAGATTTGCTTTCTTCGAGGAGAAACATATGAATCTCCATCCTTGACTCATAAACCTTAGTTGGGCTAGTCAGCGAACTTCCTTCGTTCAGATTGACAACTTTTACTACCTCATTTAGGACATTTCTCAAACAGTCTGGGATGCCTTGAGCAGCCTGAGCATCAGGGTTAATGGAGCAATGATTCCATAGTGTGGTAGTACCTGCTGCATCTCACAGTTTACTCACAACCCCATTGATTTTACCAGTACACATGTGCATGCGTAATTACCCGAGTGTAGTTACAGGACGAGAGCTACGCTCATGGTGTCCCGTCTTCCCAGTTCTCTGTAGTATAACACTTTGAAACTACTGACTGTTTTGTGTGCGTGTGTGTATGTATACTGAATATCTGCTGCTCCATCAGTTACACCTATCACTTGTGATTAGCCCAGTTCAGTTTGTGTTTCCCAAACTACACAGTCGCTCACCACTCTGAATATCTGTGACCCAGTCGTGTGTGTAGGTAAGGTCAAGTAGCGTAGCAAATCCTGCAAGAAGTGCTCTTACCATGGAAATCTCACGTAAACCAAGTGTTTACCTGAGTATACCTGAAAGCCACTAACACTAGTGGCCTCAACGAGGACAGGAAGCCGGCAGCTAGTCAAAGGTCTCCCCATTTGCCTTGATTTTTTCCAGCTGTATTTTAAAGGTTAACAGAGTTTTGGCATTTATGGCTTTGGTGGGTAGGCAGTTCCATAGGGAATAACCCTGTGGGTGAAAAAGAATCTCCTGTTCTCAGTCCAACATTGTGGCTTGTTGAGCTTGAAACCATTGCTCCTTGTTTGTGTTACAACTGATCTTTTTAAGAAATTTTCCAGGTCCACATCCTCCAAATTGCTCAGTATTTTTAAAACTTCAATGAGATCCGCCCTGTCATGCTTGGTTTGCAGTGTTGTTAGCCCTGTGGCCCTCAACTATTCCTGTTACGAGAGTTGACTTAGCTCTGGAATTATTTTTGTTGCTCGGTGTTGCACTTTCTCCAGAGCAGCTATGTCCTTCTGAAGATGAGGTCTCCATGCTTGGATACAATTGGGGCACACCAGAGATTTATACAATTGAATCACTCTACCTTCTTTTCCTTGAAGTCGAAGGTGCACTTGATTATTTCAAGGGTTTGGTTAGCTTTTTTGACTGC